TTTCCTTCCTCTCCCCCTTTCTTCCTTTCCTTCCTCCCTTCTTCCTTTCCTTCTTCCCTCCCTTCTTCCTTTCCTTCCTCTCTCTCTCCCTTCCTTCTTTTTCTTTCCTTCCTTTTTTCTTTCCTCCTTCCCTCCCTTCTTTTCCTTCCTCTCCCCCTCCTTCCTTCCTTCCCTTCCTCTGTTCTCTTTCCTTCCGTTCTTTCATCTCTCTCTCTTCCTTTTCTTTCCTTCCTCTTTTCTTTCTTCCCTTCTCCCCTTCTTTTCCTTCCTCTCCCCTTTCTTCCTTCCCTTCCTCCCTTCTCTTTCCTTCCTTCCTTTCCTCTGTCTCCTTTCCTTCCTTCTTTTCCTTCCTTCCTTCCTTCTTCCATTCCTTCTTCCCTCCCTCCCTTCCTTCCTTCCTTCTTTTTTCAGAGCCTGGCTCTCCCTCTCTCCCCCAGGCCAGAAGCACCATAGCCACTCCCAGACCCAGTGCCCCAGCTGTCTGACCCAAATGCTTTGACCTGGGCTGGTTCTTCCCTCCACCCCAAGAAGCCTGACCATATTGGCGACAACCCATGTGTGAGCAGCGTCGCCCCGCTGCCACATAGACCACATGAGCTCGGCAGCCTCAGCCTCCCCAGCAGCACGGACCCAGGGGGGCACCACTGACCCAGGCGGGCAGCACGGACCCAGGCGGGCACCACCATACTCGGCAAAGGAAGAAATCCAAGATTTCAACCACGGTTTGTAAAAACATGTTCCAGAACACGAATAATTAAGAGAAATGAAAATTAAAGCAACTTTGAGGTTCCACCTGGCCCCCACGAGATTGACAGAGACCAGAAAAAGGAAATGCCCGATGCTGGAGGGCCTGGGCAGAGAAGCCCCGGGTGCTTGTTCCTGGGGAGCTGTGACTTGCACCAGCTGTTCTGGGAGGCCGTTCAGGACTGGCCAGAAGGCTGCCAGACTGTGCCTGTAGCCTCTGCCCCAGCTTGACCACCCAGCTGCAGGCCACACCCCCAAGAAGCCCACAGAGCCGTCCAAAAATAGTCCCAGCATCTGTTCTGTAGGATCCCCAAAAGGCAAACGAGGAGTGCCCACCTCCTGGGGACGGCCAAACAAACCGTGGCATCTGAATGGGGATGAACATTGTTGCACCATAAGAAATGATGAAATGTTCCGTGTTAGAGGAAACGGAGAAGAACCCGTGCGCTGAGAGAACAGTTCAGGCCATGACGATAGCACCGGACAGAAACAATCCAGAAAGCCTCTCGAATGCTGATAGCGGCAACGCTACACCACGGGGGCGGGGGCCGGCAGACAGAAGGGGCCACTCACTTCCTGCCAGAGCCGAAGGGCCACCAGACCGGTCACCGGGGGCTGTGCTTGGCGGGACAACTGCAGGCTCTTGGTTTTCTTTCTTTCTCTAATGTGTCTGTGGGGGCAGGGGAGCAGGAGGGAGAGGATATAAACCCGTGTTAACTGGAGAACATTATCTTCTTCTGCTTTTAAGGGAGATGGAGGCAGCGGGGAGGCCGCGATGCCGCGGTCGGGCTGCCTTGGCCCTTGCTCGCCTCTTGTGGCTTTGGTTCATGCCCTTTCGGGCAGAGGCTCGGTCCAGGAGATGACCCACCTGTTCCCCTTTGGTTTGCTGGGCACCATCAACACGGGCAGATGCTGTCTTGTCCAAAAAGCCCAAGCCTAGGGTTCCCTGCGGCTTTAGCAAGCCCCACATAGGGCTCCCAGCCCCCCAACACACACACACACACACTCTCATACCTTGGTCCACTCCCTGCCCCAAACTCCCAGGGTCCACTGTCTGCACCCTGCCACCCCGTACTTAATCCTGCCCTCTCTCCACACACCCCACATTTCCTGTGTCTCAATCTCACCATCCCATTCAGATTAGAGACGCTCAGAGGGCCCCACGGAGTGGGCCAGTCTTCTCTCTCATATCTACTATGGCCCCTAGAATAAGGTTGGCCTGTGAAGGGTGGAAGGCAGGGGGAGGAGTGGAGGCTGTTTTCCACAATACCTCTGGGGGGAAGGGGCAAGGAGGATGTGGAGGGAGAGAGCCTGAGTGAGGGCTCAAAGTACCTCCCCCAAAGCCACTGGTGGAAGGGGGCCGGGCACTGTGTGCGCCCATGTACCCATCAATTGTCAAAAGTAAGAGGGAAGATGGGCTCAGCCTGGAGTGCCCACAGAGCCCCTACTGGCCTGGCATCTGCTCTATGACACAGATTTCACCATTGGAAACCCAAACAGCATCTGCCTTATCTGTAGCAGGCACCTGAGAAGCATTGCGGGAAAGAATGACAGACAGAAGAATGAACAGAAAGACAGAACTGGAGGGACAAGGGACGAGCATGACTGGACAGGCAGCAGGAAGGCAGACATAGGTGCAGTGACCTGCCCAAGGTCACACAGCCTGGAAGTGCCCAAGGTCACATCTGAACTCAGGTCTTCCTGACTCCAGAACTGATGCAAGAAAGCGTCAATAATAATAACTTCACGTGATTCCTGGTGTTTCATAAGTAGTTTTCATTCACTTACACAGCAGGAAATTGCCCTCTGCTCACACCGCACAGGAAGGGGTCTTCTACGCCATGCCGAGGGCAGGGGCCGCACTGTCTGCGGACCAGCACACAACCGGCCCTTACCCTTAATCACCTGACAGCCTGCTCCAAATCGACTCACACCCACAGAAATGTATGAAACACCTGCCTACGTGCTGGGGCCAGAAAAGTAATACCGACCCCATGCCCTTCTCTCATGACAACCTGGCAGGTGAGCCATGCAGGATTATTCTGACCTCACAGATGAAGAAACTGAGGCTGTGACAGGGTCCTTCCCCAGGTAGGAAGTGCCCGAGCCGTGGATTAAGCCGCTGTGTCTCTGAACACCACGCTGAGCCCTTTCCACTATCTGCCGCCAACTCTGTGTGTGATAAGGAGGCCTCCCTGAGCCTCGGTGGGGAGCTCAGGCACCTGCTACCCAAGGCAGATGGGCTTCATTCTTCATCCTTCACCTTGGCGAGATCTTGCCATGGCCCAACATCCGCCACCTGGCCTGGGTCAGCTGCAGGCCCCACCTGGTGGCCAGGCCCAAGCCCGAGGCCGAGGCCAGCACACGTCAGCACCACCCTCCCACTCAAAAGGCCAGAGAGAAAAGGTTCCCAGGGTTCCCCGACACCTGATTTTTAGGATGCCATCTCTCTGGCCTACTATGAGGTCGGCACTTAGATAGGCCCTATAGGGGGAACAGAAGACAGCTTGCCCTCATGGGGCTGACAGACTAGCTGGAACCAGGGGACATGCCCTGCAACAGTGGATACAGACTGTCCAGCCAGAGTCTTCTGGGAGGCCAGGAGAGCTTTCTGGAGCAAAGCAGATGGGATCCTAGCTGCACTTGAGGGGGGGAAGAATTCGTGACTCACAGGACCACAGACTTCAAGCAGGAAGGAATCTTGGCTGGCATCTCATCCTAACATCTCAACTTACAGATGAATGCCCAGAGAGGGAAGGACATCTGTCCAAGGTCACACAGCAGCCGGCTGGTAGACTTCTGCCCCTACAGAGGTCACCTTCTCGCCCCCACAAGACTCTCTTTGCCTTCAGCCCCTTCTTCTGACTGGTCAGTTGGGGCGGGGGAAGTCACATGAAGAGGGATTTGCCACCTTCTGCCTGCCCCAGAGGGAGAACTCAGAACACTGGCTAAAAGCTGCAGAGGCAGATTCAGCCTAGGAGAATTTGCTGACAATTAGAACTGCCAAGAATGGAATGGGGCTGCCTTGGGAGGCAGGGAGTTTCCCACTGATTGGAGGTATTCAAGGAGAGACTGGCTGACCCGTGTTGGGGACGCAGTGAAGAAGGGAGAGCCTTGCTCCAATACAGGTCAGACCAGACTGACTCCTTTCCAGATCTGAGGTCCTGGCTGGATCAACTTGGGCATGTCCTGCAAGGGAGGGCTCTAAAAGCCCAAGTCTGGGACACCACCCAGCAGCCAGACATTTCCACCAAGAATCCCAGGCTGGGCACCTTGACTCAGACCTTTGAGAAAGCAATGATCTCATCAGGACGAGTGCTCCTGGAGCCCAGAGGTGGCAGCAGCTCTGAGCCTCCAGAGACAAGGAGGCACCTGGGCCAGGAGGTTAGTTCCTGCCCCTCTGCTGGCGGGCCTTTAGGCCTCAGCCAGTCTGGATCCCAGACACAGAGGCCATTGCTGGGCCACTCAGCCCCACGATTCCAGCTTGGCAGCACTGAGCAGGGCTTGGGAGCTGCTGGTACAGCCTCAGGGGGCCGTGGGTCACCTCTCAGCTTGAGGAAGCATCAGATGAACCACTCACCTCACACAAGCCCAGGCGGAAAGGAAGGAAGAAAAACCAAGGAACCTGGGCTAGTCCACAAACCCAGCTGAGGGATCAGTGTGTGACCTTGGACAAGTCTATGTCCTCAACTATAAAATGGCACTCCCTGTCAGGTTCCTTGGCCGGATCGTCATCCTCGTCCTGCCCCTTCACTTTGGATATTCCGCAAGGATCTGCCCTGACCCTTCTCGTCTCTATACCATCTCCTGTGCTGATTTCATCAATCATCTCTAGACAGAGAGATATATCCAGCCCTAACCTCTCTCCTGGGCTCCAATTCTGTACCTCCAAGTGCCTATTGGGGGGGGGGGAATCTCCAACTGGATGGAGGCATCTTAAATGCAACTGGTCCAAAGCAGAACTCGCACCCGTACCTCCAAGCCATACCCTCTTCCCGACTTGCCTGCTGCCATCTTGGGCACCACCATCCTCCCTGCAGCACACGCAGCCTCAGTCCTCCCTGACCCCTTACACTTACTCACAAGCCTGAGCAGATGCCACATATCTCATACACATCCCATTTTCTCTCTTCCCAAACCTATCACCACCTAGGTCAGCCCCACCTCCCCTGAGGTCTGGACCACTGCAATCATCTTCTGGTCAGTCTCCCTTCTCCCACCCATCCTCCACAGAGCTGTCAAAGCCAATTTTCTAAAGCCCAAGACCCATTAGACAGGGAGGTCCTATGCTAAGCACTTAGCAAGTGTAAGGAATATACAGTAAGCACTTAATAAATGCATGTTGCATTGACAGGAGGTCATAGGATAGTAAGCTCGTGGATCTAGAACAAAAAGGCACCTTAGAGATCATCAGATCCCCCTGCTTCATTTTACAGGCCCAGGGAGGGCAAAGGACTCATCCACTGTCACTCAGAGGCAGGCTTTGAACCCAGGTCCTCTCAACCAAATCCACAGTTAGCCAAGATGATTTCTAAGCTATCTGGAACCTCTGCACCATCTGGAGAAAAGGGGCTTTGGGGCTCCGGCCCCTCAGAAATCATGGAGGCCTGTGATGCCTCAGGGTGGGAAGGTCAGCCGCAAGGTAAGAATGTGCAGTCCCGACCTGGGTGGGCCCAGGGGACAGAGACTGAGCCCCTCCAAATGGCCTTGGGGCCAGAGACTGGGGGAAGGGACCGCGGGACTCTGGCCTCCTAGGCAGTCTCGGGGGCTCCCGGGACAAGCCATCAGGGCCCTGGGCCTCTCCAGCTGCCCTCAGGAGCCTCCCAAGCAAGGATGCTAAGGTCAAACCAGGCAGGTGACTGTGGTCCGGGAGCCCAGGGAAGCTGTGGTCTGTGGGAGAACAGAAGTGACCTGGAGAGCCGGTCACCAGGGGCGCGTCCTGGTCACTCCGGGTACCTGCCATACCCCCTACCAGGTCCCCAGGGCACAGAACCTGCCCAGCAGAGATGCAGAGGTCATGGACTGTCCGAGCTGGGGGAGGGGGACTTAGCGGGCACAGTCGAGCGACAGGCGGGCCCTGAGCACCGGGGCCGTCTGAATTACATCCAGGGTTGGGGGCGGGGCGAGAGGTGTGCCACGGGACAAAGAGGAGAGAAAGTGAGACCTCCAGGGAGAGTTGGGCTCCCTACAGGGGGGCATGAGGAAGCACCCAGTTCCCCCCCCCCCCCCAACTTTGGGTCAGCTCTGGCCGATCCCGGGGCGGGCGCAGGGGATGTCCAGGACCTTCCCAGAGCTCGGCCGAGGGGTCGGGGAGAGGAGGGCAGGGCGGCCAAAGGGGAGCCGGCGCCCCAGGTCAGTCCTCCTGCCCCTCCCCCGCCTCGGCCCCTCCCCCTCCCTTCCAGGGGCTGCAGCCCTTCCGCTCCGCCCCGTCCCAACAAAGTCAGTTCGAGCTCTCGATCGCCGCCCTCCCCAGGCCCCCTCCCCGCCGGAGGCCTGCAGCACCTGGCCCCCGCCCCACCTGGGCCCCCGCCCCGGCTCACCTGGCTCGGCCGGGGCGCCGTACGAGCGGCCGGGGCCGGGGCCGCGCCCGCCCAGCCCGTCCGGGGGGCCCGAGCCCGAGACGCGGGGGCTGCGAGCCCCGGACAGCAGGGGCTCGCTCTCCTCCATGGGGCCGCCGAGGCCGGGGCAGCCGCCACGCGTGTGCTCGCCGCCGTGCCCCCGCCGCCGCCTCCGCGGAGCGCCGTCCCAAGCTGCGCCTCCGCCGCCCTCCCGGGCCCAGCCTGGGGCGGGTCCGTCCCGTGACGCTACGGGGCTCCCCTCCTGGGGCTGCCCAATGAGCTTGGAGGGAATCCCGTGACCCGGGAGACGTGGCTGCCCCGGCCCCGCCCCTAGGCAGGGAGGCTACCCTGGAGCCCCCCCCAACCCGGCGG